AAGATTCAACTTGTCTGCTGGATTCCTTAGATAGAGAACTTTACTAATTGGCTTTTATGTGAATGTTCCTGTAAAGTGCCCTGAGACAACTTTGTTGTGATTTGGCGCTATGTAAATAAAATGAATTGAATTGAATTGATCTAAATCTGATCCCAAAGCTGCTTTACAGATCCAATCACATCATGTAAGCATCATACTTTTGGAACAAATGAGGCCATTTTCTCACCCCATGTGCCAATTTTTATATTTACTTTTTTTTTTTTTAAATGGGGCCGAGAAAGGGTAGAGGTAGGGCAGCTGGCCTGGAACCTGAAAGCCCCAGGTTCGATCCCCAGCCATTCCCACATGTTGTGGTGTCTCTGAGCAAGACACCCAATCCCTAACTGCTCCCCGGACGCTTACATAGCTGCCCACTGCTCCACCTGCGTGTATCCCAGGTGCAATGGGTTAAATGCAGAGAAGTAATTTCACCATTGTATGGGAACATACAATGGTGATAACACATAGCACTTTATTTATTATATTATTTTAAATGTTAAAACTTTTTATTTATTTGTTTATTTATTTATTTTGAATATTTTGGTAGGTTCATGACTTGGGATCAAATTGAAAATCAAATTAAATTCCTGGTTAAAAGGCAAAAAGTATAAATAATTTCAAGGTTTAAACGTATTTGCAACCTATTAATTTGATAAAACTAATTTAATATTTTTTGAGAATTTGTGATGAAAGCAGACTTTGATAACCATTTTGCACTTATTTCCATCTTTCTGGTTGATATTGGTGCCTCTCTCATTGTATTCTGTTCAATCATTTTTTAGGAAGTGGACCAATCAGAAGGCTCGCAAAGATGTGGGAGCCTTCACTGGGCCAATCGAAGGCCTACCAGAGCTGATTGCTACCTGCAATGGCAGAGAAAGTGTTTTCTTTTCTATGGTCAACCAAGAATTTCATCCAACTCAGCTCTCCCAGGTAGGATGACAGATGTTACAACCATCAATGGTCCAATCACACACCATGTTACATGCACACACCGTTCTCTGTGAAGAGCCATCAGCTGTCCTGTCTCTACCATCCCCACTTCCAGCTTACGTTTCTGGCTCCTATTTAAGTGCTAATTGCTGCTCTAATGAGAGTGTCCCAGCCCAGTTACTTGCCCTGTGACTTCATCTAGTCAATGATACACCTGCCTCTCGTCCAGACCCCCCACCCCAACAGAGTGGCAGCCTCTCTAATGCATAGTTTCCACACACACGTGACAGGTATTGTGCAATACCAGGTTTTCCGCCATATTTTTAGGCACATTCTAAATGTCTTACAGACAGACCAGAGCTCAGTATATTGATACTCATGACCAAGATGCAAGAGCAAGGTATAGGCATGAAATAGCTGCGATCGGAGTTGACCCGTATGAGGTGGAGAAAGAAATGATGTCAGACGAAACAGACAAGTTGTCACCGAGAAGTTACTTTGATATCGTTAATTATTTAGTAAACACGAGGAGTGCTACAACGGAGGAGCTTCACAGCTTTAAATCCAGGGATGCTTATAATCAGTGATGGATTTGTGAAGGACGTCCAAACTCTTCATGTTAATAAGTTCTGGTGACTGGCAGAGTAAGTAGTTACAATAATATACACGTAGATGTCCCTCATAGCTTGCTACATGCTACATCAGCTAAGCTAATCTGTGCTACATTAAATCTGATCTTTAATGTAGCACAGATTAGCTTAGCTGAAGTAGCTTGTGCTACAGTAAATATCACTGATTATTTCTCACATTACTACATTATTTATTTTGCATATGACTGCCTTTCATACTTAAATTAGTGATAATAAATAAATCATTTGTAATTATTGCTCACATTATTTAACGTGCTACAGTAAATGTCACTGATATTATTTATTTTCCACTATGACTGCCTTTGTTAATAAAGTTAGTAATGAAAAATTACAATTTGGTAACTCCTTTTAATCCATTGGTTAAATGTTGTTTTAAAACCCTGAAACAAGAAGAGCATTTTAATTGCTTTTTTCCTTTGTGTTGTATGTTCTAGAATTGTGCCGCTCCATGTGTCTGCATGTTGGAGCAGCTCTGTTACTTTCATTCTGAGATTTTGCTCTTGGAAACTTTATTTCCTCTTTTTCTGGATGTAAATCACATTTTTTGGATGATCGTTTCCTCTGGTATCAGATGCTGTGCAGCTGGAAGGATTTTTACCGAAACTTTTTTAGTTTTGGATATTTGTTATGATGCGTAACCATGGCATTAATAACATGGGATTAACATCTCAAAAGCTCAAATAATATCTCAACTACAGCCCCAATTCTCAAATGAGTTGAAGGGATGTTCTGTGGATGCATTCTCATCTACCTGCCAGCTGTGCTCGAGTACCTGACCACTGAGATTCTGGAACTAGAAGGAAACACGGCTCATGACAGCTGAAGGACAGGATCGTCCCTCCGCACCTACAGTTGGCTGTCCGCAGTGACGAGGAGCTCGGCAGACTGCTGGGAGGAGTGGCCATTGCTCTGGGAGGAGTTCTGCCCAGCATTTGGGCGGTCCTACAGCCCAGGGGAACTGAGAGGCCAGCCAAGTCTGGGTGGATGGATCAGACGGCATCTGCAGCCAGTTTCTCCAACTCTGTGAAAATCTGTAACTGTTTCTATTTTTAAAAAGTTCCTAACTTTATTTTGTACCTTTATAAGGGATTACCAGTGAATAAAGTCTCTTTGGTAAATGCTTCTTTGCATAGATACCTTAATAACTTTTAAAATGCAAGATAACAGTGATTATTCAGCTTTGAGGAATGTTTATTAACTCAAAAATGCCTTTAAAAAAAGAAAATACGTTCAATTTCACTAAAATAACCTAAAAAGCGAAGTGAAACCTGTGTTCTCAAGTTTCTCCAGAAGATGGCAGAACAACCTTATTAATTTTAACTCAGACACTGTTAGTGTTGTCCAGTAGGGGAGCTATAACTTCCTGTGGCGTCCGGTCGTTAGCTGTTAGCTAAAAATTAGCATCGGCTAGACTCGGTTAAAACCAACATTTCTGAACGGATTTTTTACACAAGCGTGGCAAAATTTTAGCAATTAGACTTCGAAGAACCTAAACAGCATTTCAGAACACAGCTTTAAAGCGCTTTTCAGCTTTAAAAAGCAGATTTTATTCCCTATGAAAACGAGTTTCCATTTCTGGGTCACGTGACTGAAATCACCAATTACAGAGCAACACGGGGTTGAGAGGAAATGGCGTAGACACGTCATTCAACTTCTCAGCGAATCAGAGCGCTCCACAGCAGCAAAATTCCACCAATCACAAAACGTTTCAGCAACTAGCATGATAGATTAGCATGAAATGCGTTCGTCAACTTTTCGTCTTTTAAACTGTCAAAATGCACTTTTTCTGTTAAAAATTGTAACGAATCAACTCTGAGCTGTACGGAGTCTGCTACTCCGGTCTCAAAAACGTCTTTCTAGCTATTTAAACAACTTGTCCGAACCTTTTTCAGAACCGAGCCGGTCCAGAAGAACCTCCGTCCGTTTGGACCACAGTTTAAACAGAATAACGTTTTCCACAGCTCATCAGCTTAGCTACACATAACAGGCGTACAATTTCAGCTTTCACAAGACATATGACACTATTTCAGCTTTCAAAACATCACTAGCCCAACACGCTTAAACATGCAGCGTTTTGACTTCAAAGCGGCGCAGCTTGAGCTGCGTTTCAGCACAGCTGATAAACTGTTACTTTTCCTCATGCCAACATGTAAAAACAATCTTTACACGAATACACAGTCATTTATGGACCGTCACGGGCCACCAAATGTAGTATGACATAAGCAGGATATATTCATACTGTTTAAGACGGGTTCTTCATTTTTCTGACTGTGTAAATGCGTGCATTGAGTTTAACAGAAATGTAACGAGAGACGTTATTTACCTTTGACCCATCAAATTGAATGCGGTCATTTATTTGCAGAATCAAAGTTTAACATCACACATTTACATTAATTTGGCAGAATATGAAAACAATAACATGGCTAGTTTCACAGAAAGTTGGAACAATACGGAGATTGTCCTCACTTCTCAGCAGAACAGCAGACCTCAATCACACGGCGGTGATTGAGAACTTTGCTTCAGATATTTCTAAAATATCTGTAATGATTTTAGGAGAAAGGAGAGTTTAAGATGGAAAATGGAGATTTATCTTACAGAGAGATGTGTGAGGGAATTAATCTGTTTGACCAGAAACGTGCACGCTCCTTCAGTTCTCAGCTTGTTCACGGTACGCTTGGTCGGAGTAGAACTTTTACCTGGTTGACGATAGGTCAGCGTCGGTATAGAATCCTTCCTTTGACTCTTTCAGCGTCTCCGTTGAGAGCAGCTAAAATACTTCGAGAGTCGTGCGAGGTTATCCAAACAGAAGTTATAATTCCCAAAATCGTCACTGCATTCTATATTCCAATAGAAGCATTCTGGACGCCTGCGTTAGCATCCAAGAACTCTGAACTCTTTAACTCTCTTCAGAGAGTTAAAGTCTGGAACTCTTCTCCAGGAAAAACTTTCAAGCTCTGAAAACTCCCATGTTGAACTCAATCTCAATCTTGAGCGCAGCTAGACTGGGAAGTTGCCACATTTAAATGGGTCGACTTCCGGGTCATTTGAGAGCTTTTTGATTGGTCGATGGACCAGAAAAGAGGTGTGGTTTGTGATGTAAGGTGTTATGAAAAGTCAAGGATTGTTTTAGTGACAGACAGAAAGATTATTGGAGAACTTCAGACTTCGTGGAGTCTCTACTCTTATTATCTGCTGTAACAGTTAAACATGACATTTCTTTTCAGTAAACTTTTAGTTGACCGAAACTTGAACCTTAACATACTTACAAATTTGCTCATTGAAGACAGAAAAATCAAGAAATGCATATTACCCTGATTTCTTCTTTGAATGAGGAATAAAAATCATTACTTACTGTTTATGTAAATAAAAATGAGTAGTTCTCTTCAACCTGTAAACATTGAGTGATCTAACACAATTTGATTATCAAACATTTGTAAAATAGTAATGATCATAGAGAATTGTCATTTCTACTTGATTAATTCAAGAAAGAAAGTCTCAGGATGGGTCAACTGTATTTCTGGATGCAGATCAATGAAATAACAGTTTCTGTCCCACAAGGTTCTTAAGGTCAAGTGTTTCGACCTTAGGCTTATTACTTCAGGTTAGGTTCACTACAGGATCCACTGTGGGATGGACCTTGACAAGAGATCCTTCCTACCTACATCCATCAGTATCTACAACATCTCTTAATGAAATGAGGATAATGAGTTACAACAACAAATAATTTCTCTTTAGGATAAATAAAGTATTTATGAATGAATGAATGAATGAATGAATGAATGAACGAATGAATGTATTTCTGTAAATGGACTGTACTTATATAGCGCCTTTCTATCTTATAGAGATACTCAAAGCGCTTTTCACTACAATCTGTGCCTCATTTACCCATTCATACAGCTAATTGAAGCTAATTGAACAAATCATTCTAAAGAGACTAATCAGTGATTTATCACATTCATACACCGATGGCACACACATCAGAGGCAACAAGGGGTTCAGTGTCTTGCCCAGGGACACTTCGGCATGTGAATGCTGTGGGGTTCGAACCCCCAACTCTCGCATTGGAGGACGACTGCTCTAACCACTTAGCCACAGCCGTCTGTGTAAGGTTCTCCCAGAAGATGAAACTCCACTTGGTCCAGAAGTTGTGTGCAGTCGTGCACCACAGCAACAAATGAGTGAAAATATCATTTCTATAAACGAATCTGCTTTTGAAGTAAAGTGCCTTGTGAAAGTATTCGGCCCCCTTGAACTTTTCAACCTTTTGCCACATTTCAGGCTTCAAACATAAAGATATAAATTTAAATTTTTTGTGAAGAATCAACAAGTGGGACACAATCGTGAAGTGGA